GCGTGGGGCGGAGCGAGGGGCGTGACATGCGTGGGGCGGAGCGAAGGGGCGTGACATGCGTGGGGCAGAGGGAGGGGCGTGACATGCGTGGGGCGGACGAGGGGCGTGGCATGCATGGGGCGGAGGGAGGGGCGTGACATGCGTGGGGCGGAGCGAGGGGCGTGGCATGCATGGGGCGGAGGGAAGGGCGTGACATGCGTGGGGCGGAGTGAGGGGCATGACATGCGTGGGGCGGAGCGAGAGNGCAACTCACCCATAGGAATAGCATTAGCCGTGACCAGTGCCAGCAACTCACCCATAGGAATAGCATTAGCCGTGACCAGTGCCAGCAACTCACCCATAGGAATAGCATTAGCCGTGACCAGTGCCAGCAACTCACCCATAGGAATAGCATTAGCCGTGACCAGTGCCAGCAACTCACCCATAGGAATAGCATTAGCCGTGACCAGTGCCAGCAACTCACCCATAGGAATAGCATTAGCCGTGACCAGTGCCAGCAACTCACCCATAGGAATAGCATTAGCCGTGACCAGTGCCAGCAACTCACCCATAGGAATAGCATTAGCCGTGACCAGTGCCAGCAACTCACCCATAGGAATAGCATTAGCCGTGACCAGTGCCAGCAACTCACCCATAGGAATAGCATTAGCCGTGACCAGTGCCAGCAACTCACCCATAGGAATAGCATTAGCCGTGACCAGTGCCAGCAACTCACCCATAGGAATAGCATTAGCCGTGACCAGTGCCAGCAACTCACCCATAGGAATAGCATTAGCCGTGACCAGTGCCAGCAACTCACCCATAGGAATAGCATTAGCCGTGACCAGTGCCAGCAACTCACCCATAGGAATAGCATTAGCCGTGACCAGTGCCAGCAACTCACCCATAGGAATAGCATTAGCCGTGACCAGTGCCAGCAACTCACCCATAGGAATAGCATTAGCCGTGACCAGTGCCAGCAACTCACCCATAGGAATAGCATTAGCCGTGACCAGTGCCAGCAACTCACCCATAGGAATAGCATTAGCCGTGACCAGTGCCAGCAACTCACCCATAGGAATAGCATTAGCCGTGACCAGTGCCAGCAACTCACCCATAGGAATAGCATTAGCCGTGACCAGTGCCAGCAACTCACCCATAGGAATAGCATTAGCCGTGACCAGTGCCAGCAACTCACCCATAGGAATAGCATTAGCCGTGACCAGTGCCAGCAACTCACCCATAGGAATAGCACTAGCCGTGACCAGTACCAGCAACTCACCCATAGGAATATCATTAGCCATGACCAATGCCAGGAGCTGGGGGCTGCTTGACAGGAAGGTGCAATGGCCGAGTCTGGCAACAGGCAGTGCTGACAGAACTGACAGGAGCTCGTCGTGACAGGACGGCGTCAGCAGCTGACAGTAGACAGAAGGACGCCATTATTGCCAGGTCGTCGGACGGACAGACAATGAGTCATAAAATTATGTTCAATATACATGGCAATGAAGGGTTTGAAAAGTAATACAAAATATAATAAATGTTGAAGAAATTGTCACAATTTGTGTGGCATGTCATACAATAGATAAAATGACACGCCATACACTAGATAAGATAACATATCATACAACAGATAAGATAACATGCCATACAATAGATAAGATAACATGCAATAGATAAGATAACTTACAACAGATATGCTAACACACAATAGATAAGATATAATCCAATAGATAAGCTAACGTACAACAGATAAGACAGCACCTCACAAATATGCAGCACAACAGATAAGATAGCACCTCACAACAGTGCAGCACAACAGATAAGATAGCACCTCACAACAGTGCAGCACAACAGATAAGACAGCACCTCACAACAGTGCAGCACAACAGCCAGCCCCGCAGCACGCGCCCGCTGCAGCAGAGGCAGCAGGTCCCTCATGTCGCCCCTGGCAGGGTCACCGCTCACGTCCACCCCCACCAGCAGCTCCGAGTGTCCTTCCTGCACCACACAGACACCAGGGCGCATTATGGCGGCCCGACTTCCTGCGACACATCGCTTCAGCATTTATTATTTTATTATTATCGACCATTATTCATTATTTTCCGCGACACTCTCACTCTCAATTGGGCCGCCTTTCTCTACAGGCGCGACGGGATGAGGTTAAAGAACTTGTGGTCCGTTAGGACAAGGTTCTAAAAGCCCGTTCACACTCGGGGCAACACACGGGCGTCAAGCGCCTCACCGCCCCTCTACGTGCGCTTCTTGTGGGCAACGCAGCGATTGACGAGCTAGTGATTCACAGGCGTCTTGCCTCATGCAACACAAGCGCCGTACTCAGTGGACGGCTGTCTGTGATCTAGCGAGGTTGCCTGTATACGCTGGTCATTCACTATGGCAACTAACGCAACACTTGTTTGGACTCGCTGGTAGAGACGCTAATTGATCTTTGTTGAGAGCATGAATCCCTGTAGAGAGCTCAGTCGAAGGAGTATAAAAATCGAAATTCAAAAGAACAACCTCTGGTGAAAATTGTTGAAGTTTTAAAAAACTTTTGTGTACAAGTCACCATTGACGAGGTTCGCAAGAAAATTCATACGTTGCGTTCGCAATTCCATCGTGAAATGAATTTCATTGCAAATGAATTCCATTGCATATGAATTCCATCTCAATTC